TTTTCCGCGTCTAACAGTCATAGAACACAAAGGTTTTTAGTAAGTTTATAAAGTTATTTATTTATTGTACATTATAATGCTTTGGCATCTTGGAAATTATTGCAGTTTTCTAAAGCAAGTCTTGTATATTTTGTTCTAATCACTAAACATTTTATTCGGATTCAGGGCGTGAAACGTCTTATTAAAATGATTGAAGTAACCAAGTGACTTTCGCACAACTTTGTTAACCGCCAAGGTCTTGTAGTTCGAACATATTCGAATATGCAAATGAGTTTTATGCAAATCTGCTTTGTGCAGTGATGATAAGTAACGCGTATCGAACTGTGTGGAGTTCGGAGCTCACTACCTAAGGCGCGTTATTTGTTCTATTGTGGATTTTTTTGTGATTCTAACTTATAGTTCATGCGCGTTCTTACGTTCCTTTGTTCTACCTGTACGTTATAACATTTTCTTTATGCTATCGATAAAGAGCCACTGCTCGAAAGGTCTAGCTATTTTTAATAGTTATTTAGGACTACGATTACCAAATATTATCTTCTATATATCGTTTTTCAATCGTTCTATGAGTACAAGTAGATTCCCGCGTGTTACGAAATCGAACATTTTGAACGTGTCGAATATTCTCTGCAGCACGGATATTGCATGAACTCAGGTAGTTTTGTCATCGTGCTTCACTCGATAAAGAAAATTGATTTGTATGCAGCAAACACTTGCGTCCTTAATATTAGTTTGCGTGCCGTATTGTACGTTATCTATTTTACAAAGTTTGGTGCACGAATGTCAAAGACACTAACATTTTGCTGAGCACTGTCAACACGTACTGATACTGTAATGATAATTGTTGGTTTTCGTTTTGTTTTAGATATCGAAGTTTAAATAGCAAGAATGGATTGTTGTCGAAGAGTAATATTCGTTATTGTTTTGGTATGTTTCGTCCGACACAGTCTTGCCGGTGACGATAATACAGTTAATGCGAATGGGACGATAAATTGGGCAGATTTGCCTCCTATTACCGATGACTACGAGTCACCAGCGGAGTACGATGAAGGAAAATCGCCGTATCCGGGATTATGGGCGATGATTGACGGTTGGATCAATGTTGTATCTCCTGGAAGTCTGCCATACGATCTCATCAACGATGCATTAGGCGGATCATTTGAAATCACCGAAGTAACCAACCATTTCACGGACTACTCGTCACTTCTCTTAGGTTTTGCGATCTGTTTCGTTATTGGAGCTCTCTTTCTGATAATATTTCCAATTGTTTGTGTATGTTTTTGTTGCTGTCGATGTTGTGGCAAGTGCGGGGGAAAGATGTACCAGAAACAGACTGGGAATATGAGCTGCAAGCGATGGACATTCATCCTCATTCTGACGTGTGTAACTGTGGTTTTAGCTGGTGGCATGGCGTGTTGTTACTTTGTCAATGAAAGACAGACCACCGAGTTCCCCGCTGTAGGCCCTAACGTAATAATGAGTTTAGACGATCTGTTCAAGTTCGTTGACAATACCGTAGATGAAATCACATTTGTCGCTATCTCCCAAACTTCGTGGATATTTGAGCAAGTCAAAAATGACTTGGACAATGTTGGAACGTTGGTCGGTGTGCCGATTCAAGAAGCGCTAGACCCGGTAGTTCAACCAGCAATCGACGCAGTCCTTGATATGGTTGATACGATTACAGATACACGAGATGGATTGTCGTCTTTAAACGCAATGGTCACAGATTTAGACTCTAATTACACCGATCTTACCGCTTCACTGTCCACCTTAAAATCAAACATAGACACATTATACACCACCTGTGTTGGTTGCTCCCCAACGCCAGGGAGCATGGTGAGTACATCAACCCTAGTCACTAATAGAGATTTCAGTGACGTTATATCTTCCGGAACATACCCAAGGATCAACGTTACAGCCACAATAGTCGCTCTTGATGCCATTATCGCTAACGATCTAAAAGGTGAGGCTAAGGCCGGTGAGCAAACATACAAAGACATACCAGAAATGATACAAAACGAAACCAGCAGCGCCATTGGAGATCTGACTGACAGTTTCGACGATTTCGAAGATGAAATCGCCAGTGGATTGGACCCAATGATTGAAGCATTAAACAATCTGTCATCTCAAACAGAGTCGTTCTACGACATTATCGATGACGTCACTGAAAACGTAGAACGATATGGACCGTACAGAAGTAACCCGCTTATCGTTTTATGTTGTATCCTCTTGGCAATCGTGTGTTTGAATTTACTCGGAATCGCCTTTGGTATAATTGGCTATGATACTGATGCTACGCCGACTCGACGCGGTGGATTATCCAACTGTGGTGGGATACTACTGATGTCGGCCGTAGGACTGTGTTTCAGTTTTGCCTGTATTTACATGCTTTTAACAGCATTTCCCTTCATAGTCGGTGGTCCAGTGCATAAAATAATCTGCCAGCCGATACTAACCCACGAGATTTTCGAGAAAACTATTGACCAACCAGACATTATCACTGACGGTTATTTCTTGGGAGATCTTATGTTTGATGACGGGAACGTGTCCTTGACAGTGACCGGAATATTGGATGGTTGTGAAAACAACTTAGCAGCGTTCACAGTGTTTCAATTAGAAAACATCGTGAATATATCTCAATTTTTAGACATAGACGAGTTTATCCCGGATGGTCAGTTTGACGACTTAAACGTAAATATTTCAGACCAAATCGAAATTATGTCAGACACAACGCGAGACAACCTTTTGGATGCACAGAATGCGGGCGCAGCAGACATCGACTGGACCGTTTTCAAAGCAGAGTTAAATTCGAATTTGATTGATTACGGAGAAAATCTTGACGTCTTTGCTGACGCTTTGCAGGCATATATAGACTCATCACCAGGTTTTCCTAGCGGTGTAAAGAATGATTTCCAATCGATGGTAACAGTCATACGTGATCTGCAAGATGGTGAAGTCGACCCATTAGTATCGCTCCGTGATCAAGTACTTCAAACTGTACTGCAAGTCGAAACCGATTCAAATACTATAGACACCGCCATTAATCTAACGATCTGGACTGCGGAAGCTGCTGATGTATATATAGAAAACAACCTAGACAGCGTAGTGGCTGACGAAATAAACGCATTTCAGACGAGGATTCTTGACTATCCGCGTCAGTTTGTTGACTACGTCAAAGACATGATATTCAACGAAATCGGGAAATGTCGCCCTGTTTACAATTTGTTGCAACACTTCATCAACACAGTTTGTCGAAGTTTCTTGGACGCATTCAACGGACTTTGGTTCTGCATGGGATGGTGTGTTTTCTTCATGATACCAAGTATTATATTTGGAGTCAAGTTGGCTAAGTACTTCCGCCGAATGAACGAAGAAGACGTATATGACGATGGTATGGAAATGCAAGACAAAGCGCCCTCTTACAAGTCTGGTCCTCCGATAAACGCTTACGGGAAGAATAAAGTTGACCCTGCGTTTTAAGCCAAAATAAGCCTAAACAGCGTATAAATAACTGGAATTTATAGTTTTGTCTTCCTGAAGGGTTTAGGGAAATATGTAAAATTTAACGTTTAGTAACTAACACTAAAAATGAACTTGAGAATGTTCATATTTGTAAATATGGATTTTTAAACTAATATTTTTGTACTTTCTCGCAAAATTTGTAGTTTAGCATAAGTCAATAATACAACGTAGTAAAAGACAAAATATAATCAACGATTTCACAATACATAGGACGTTTTCAAAATACAAACGACAATTTCAAAGTATGAGCGACGATTTCGAAATATAAACGACAATTTCAAAATGAAAACGATTTCAAAATACAAACGACGATTTCAAAATAAAAACGACGATTTCGAAAGACGAGCGACGATTTCGAAATAAAAACGACGATTTCAAAATACAAACGACGATTTCAAAATGCGAGCGACGATTTCAAAATAAAAAGGACGATTTCAAAATACAAACGACGATTTCAAAATACAAACGATGATTTCAAAATAAAAACGACGATTTCAAAATACAAACGACGATTTCAAAATACAAACGTCGATTTCAAAATACAAACGATGATTTCAAAATACAATCGACGATTTCAAAATACAAACGACGATTTCAAAATACAAACGACGATTTCAAAATACAAACGATGATTTCAAAATACAAACTGACGATTTCGAAATACAAACGACGATTTCAAAATACAATCGACGATTTCGAAATACAAACGACGATTTCAAAATACAATCGACGATTTCAAAATACAAACGATGATTTCAAAATACAAACTGACGATTTCGAAATACAAACGACGATTTCAAAATACAATCGACGATTTCGAAATACAAACGACGATTTCAAAATACAATCGACGATTTCAAAATACAAACGACGATTTCAAAATACAATCGACGATTTCAAAATACAGGCGATGATTTCAAAATACAATCGACGATTTCAAAATACAAACTGACGATTTCAAAATACAAACGACGATTTCAAAATACGATCGACGATTTTCAGAATACAAGAAACGAATTCAAACTTAATAATTTTACAGTAGCGTATATTTATTTAAACACATATGAAAAAAAAATATTTTATGGCGTCATTGGGACTTATTCTGTTTACAATTCAGTTTCTTTCTTTTCCAATTCATTTAATGTAGGTTGTAGGTGAAAAAAAGCAAAGAAGTTGTTAGGTTATCACCAGCCACAGCAGTGTTTCACCCCGTCGTGCAAGTTATTTTTTTGGATGGTAAAAACTGGAAATAGATAATATTTATCTATTGGCAGGTACGTCTTAGGTGGTGCACTGCAATTTATGTCGGTGCGTCGGCGTCGGGTGGTAGACTTATATTCGATACACATAAGTGGCATTCTCAAAGGATCGACTGAGTAAACGAAGAACGAATAATCTGCCGAAGTCGTAACATGCTCTACTTATTGTAAAGGATAATTTGTTATGAAATCTATTTGAATGAATGTGTGATTTATATTTATTGTTTACCAAAGTTTGAGAAATATTCCTAAACCTATGAAATGTTTATTCAGATTTTGTTTAATATTTACTGTATAATTTGTACTCAAGATTAAAGTACACCAGTAGTTACATCACTCATGCTCATGTGACCCTATTGTTCTGATCCTAAGTTTGTTCTTGGAAATTCACTCTCATGTTTTATCGTTTTTATCCTTTTCATTACCAGTCATCATCGCTCAAATTGTGCACGTTTTTGTTTATATTCTTCATTATTTCTGGAAATGAACCCTAATTTTGGAGCAAACAGACAAAATTCGTGTCAATTTTAATTTTTTTACGGCATTGTATTGCTACCTTATATCGATACGTATTCGACCCAAAACTTGGGTAACTGGTAAATATTAAAAAAAAACTATGATAACAGCATTAATTAACTGAAGAAAATCTCCCAACAAGGTCGAAAAACACAACTTACGCCGATAAAGGACGCGATTTCTCAACTCGTTGTGCCACTTGCCGTTACGTAAACTCTTGAAATGTTCATGAAAACTGTTGGAATGAATCTATGGCTCATCAATTGAGACACTTTTCTGGGAACTTTGTTGTGATACGAAAGTAAAAACGAACAAACAAACACACAAAAACCGCATGTTTGATTTGCTATTTTCATTGGCATTCCTCCTCTTCTAAATGTATGTGTAGAATAGTAGTATTCTATGGTTATTAATTGTGTTTATGTACTAGCTCACAGGAATGCAATAGCCAATTTATCGTGTTTGGCAACGACTTGAGAATGTTGTAAACTGAGAGCTGATTTCTGTGAGCGACTGAGTATTAGTCACTGAATCTGGAATGCGAATAACGCACTGGAGAGGAGAGGAGCGCTTGTAATTGAACCCAATTCCCCTCGAAATGTTTCATACAATGTATCAATATAAATTTTCAAATGACTAAATTTACGTCACAGACTCAAATCATCACATGTCGTTCCCCCTTACAAAGGATGAAAATTGGTTTTCAGAACCTTGGACATGCAATAATAAATACCAGCAATTTCCACCCGTTTTCCCCATAGCATCAATATAATAATAAGGTACACTTATTTCCCTTGCCTACCACCACCCACCACATAATCTACAGTTTGTGACTTGAAATGGTCTTTGCTTTTCTGACTGTAGCTGTTGTCGTCTTTTTAGCAATATCAAAAGATCTATCACAAGCGTTTACATCATACCATCTTTTCTGTTCAGACTGTGTGGCCACCATATTCTGTTTCACTATTTCCATCGTATCTTCAATCTTATATCTTCCAGAATAACTATGGTCCATTCAACATAACAAGAGGTTTTCTTACCTGTCTAATTCATAATAATAATTCATACAGTAACGTTTTTGGAATACCTACTTGACTAAAAGTCTCAATTAAACAATCTACTTCAGCTTCCATATATTTTAGATTTCCATTGCCGAAATAATTGAACATCAAAATAGAAAAAAAAAAAAAAAACCCATGCATGGCACAGTCCCCGTTAGTTATCAAATTTAAGATATATAGTTTTGTTTTTGAATATATTTTGAATATATATAACATGATGTAACACGAATACATAAAATATTGACATAATTAGTCAAAGCATATCAGATATATGGGTATAGGAGCGCATTTGTATATCTATATCATGATGTATAATGAATATAACAAATTTGAACATAATCAGTCAAAGCGTGGCAGAGATATGGCACTAGAAATTTATTCATTAAAACAAAATGGCCGCCAGTCGGTCATTTTAAATTGTATCTGAAAAAATAAAATGATGTGTATGTATGTATCAAATTTGAACAAAATCCATCCATAAATGCTTGATTTTGATGATTTTTTAGCACAAAAATAGCCACCATTCGGCCATCTTGATGTGCATATGTATAATATTATGTATGATGTATGTGTGAAGTTTGATTGTGATCGGTCCAGGCTATTGACACGCAGATCGCCGCAAACCAACCGATGACTAGCGCCACCTGTGTTGACACAATGCGGTCCAGGCATGTCTAGATACAGGTCCGTACGCACGGACGCACAAAGGTCAAACATAAGTTCACGTTTTCGGACTAAACAAATTCTGGCACTGCTACTTCTCTCGCCTTAGTCAGTATTGCATTTGATTGCTGCAATAGACCATTTTCCGTTCACTGCGAGAATCACGCGTCATGCGTGAAATCGAACGTAAAAACAGGACAAACAAAGGTCATAGCGTCGTAGTCGCGTCAAACATCGCGTGGGATTTGACAAACGCGAAAGTATTTCGGGGACATTTCCATGCTTAATAATGTGCTGTCCACATTTGATGATAGGCAATTTCGATTAAGTGAGGGTATTCGGAAGCAATATTCTTCTGTCGAAGATCGGCCGGTCAATGTAAGCTACGAAATAAAGAAATTCTAGTTCAAAATCAAATCGTTCGATTTTTGCGGCAGACGTTCGACGCGCGTCTTTCATGCATCTCGCGAGATCTTGCAATTGTACGGAAAATCATCTATTGGTTATCAACTCCTCTGATATCAACGAAGCCCATTATAGTATCTCATTACAACACTTGTTGTTACACCTGTTAATTATTTATTACACCGTACATTAGTATGTTTCTTTCTAAATGCTTTACTTTGACCTCTATTGACAACATATACAACGTCTTCTCTTTAGTTATGTTTACCTGAATATAAATAACCCCAAAATAATAACATCTTCAAATAAGGTAATAATAATTATTATTATCATTATTATACATCTGTCATCGTAACGCCATAAGTTACAGCGTGCCGTAATTTTGCGATATTGCTGCAAGTCTTTATCCAAATCCTCTCCTAATTGCAATACATGGGAATCAATGGTTAGCATAGCAACAAACAGTGAGTGAACGATAGTAAAAATATTGGCCAATCAGCAATTCGCAAAAATATTTTTTTCAAGAGAGTTGAATAAAAGTTACAATCATGTACAAATGTACCATTTCAACGTACACTGCTTCCAGGACTGTCATCCAATCCAGTTCAAATCGGCTTTTCATGCAGCTAACGAGTTCGCCTCGTATACATTCACATATATTGTGTCACTTAGATAACATTGCTAGCATAAACACTTGCCATTGATGACATCACGCCACCATGTAAAGGCAGGTAAGCCGTTCCATGTACGAAATTTCAGGCACTTTTCCTCATAGCTGTTTGATTGTCGGAAAATCAACTCACCAAATCTCAATTCTTAGTTCATAGCCCGGGGGCAGTTGATACATAGCTAGGTAGGGAGGTGCCCCTGAGTGCTCAAGTGAAAAGTGTGACCATTTTTATACCTGGATAGCGGGAAAATCTATACCCATATTTATACCAAAGTACTGTCATGAATTTGTTTTTGCGTATCTGTTAACCGACTTAATTAACTGATTATTAGCGAATTGCTGTGTTATGTCTGTCATCGTGTAGGCCTATTTGAAGTTTTGGAC